TATAAATCAGTAGTCAGACAGTTGTTTCTCTTTCTTTCTTTCTTTTTTTTAACTGAATTATAGATTTCTCCGTCGACTGACTGGACCAAAGTGCTCGGTCTCTTAGGTTGACATATCTGTTGGCTTCTTGTGCAGAGATGCTTCGACGATGTCTGGATATGTAATTAGAATTTAAAATTCAATTAAATAATTCACTAGTTAGGTAAAAGAAAAGAAGGCACGTTCAGTGAAGAGACTCTTCTCGGCGAATTCATTCACTGAACTGTACAATCGCATTTACATACAATTTTGTTTTTTTGTGTGTGCTTACATTAGATTTATAAAGTTTAGATAATTACGTAATATAAGTATTATTTGGCTTGGAAATAAACGTTAATTAGATGGAAAATAAAGTAAAATTGATTAAGTGAATTGGATGACGTAATACAATTGAGTAGAATTCAGATTAGGTCAAAAATTAAATAAGGATGGGGGTAGAGAATAATACAGTTGAAAATTAAGTAAGTTAATCACAGATGACGTAATATAGTTAGTTGACTAGAATTCACTTAATCAATTTTATTTTATTTTCTACCTAATTAACGTTTGTTTCCAAGCCAAATAATACGTAAATATTACGTAGTTATCTAAACTTTATAAATCTAATGTACACACACACAAACAAACAAAATTCATATTAGTTGTTTGTCAGAAATATTCACAACTTATCACTGCTGATAAAAACAACTGAGAAACACGGAGGATGTTGCTCATTTCCTTCTGTTTATTCTATCCTGTCTCTCATAGAATATTTCTTGGCATTTCCAGCTGCTTCAGGTTGGTTGTATGGTAGGTAATTTAACCACCTAAATTGTTTTATTGACTAAATAAATTGAAAATGATTCACTCAGCTTAATCACATCTGACTGTTGGATATGCCAAGAATATGCCTTTAAGTGATTTACTGTTATTCCGTCGCTAGTCTGCTGCAATTACAGTCATCATCAGATCGTATCAATCAATCATCGCTGATTTCTCTAGACGGCATTATCTGTTGACTAAGCGCTTTAATCACAACATAATCACTGTCACTACTTCTACTATGAATAGAAACCAGTAATTGCTCTTTTACGGCTTTGTGAAAAAAGACAAAGAAGAAGGGAATCATACCTCCAGCATACCATGAATTGATGATTTACGCTTGTGTGGAAAACAATGCATCACATAGAGCGCAATTGAACGCGTGAACACATTGCAGCCTAACATTCAAAACTGCTCATTACAACGTTCTGTGCTATTTTCATTGTTATTTTTTGGTTTTGGAAATCTAATTAGTAATGAAGTTGTGTACGGCAATGCAGACATGAATGATTGATGGCTTCGAAAATCCCTTTAGTAGCCACATTCATTATTACTTCTTGCTTCTATCAAAAAACAAAACAGCTAAGAATTCCATATTCTAACAGACATTATGTATATATGTAATTTCATAAATTAATGAACAATGTTTTCATGTCTGTCTGTCTGGATTCAACATAGAACTTGGCACCGAAGTGCAACAGTTCGAGGTGCCATGTTCATTGTTTTCCACACAAGCGTAAATCATCCATTATTGGTATCCTAGAGATATGATTCCCTTCTTCTTCGTCTTTTTTTCACAAAGCCGTAAAAGAGCAATTACTGGATTCTATTTATAGTAGTGGTAGTAACAGTGATTATGTTGTGACTAAGGCACTCAATCAACAGATTATGCCGTCTAAAGAAATCAGAGGTGATTGATACGTGCTGATGATCACTGTTGTTGCAGACTGGCGACGGAATGTCTGTCTGTCTGGAATCAACATAGAACTTGGCACCGAAGTGCAGCAGTTCAAGTTGCCACGTTCCAAATACCACACAAAGGTAGACAAGAAGATGGATGAGTGAAGAGAATCAATAGAGTTTTGACAAGTACAAGAGTGAAACAGAATGGGTAATGGTAGAAAGGAATATGAAAGATTACAGAGACTGAATACATTGACAACGATTTTGAGCCATGTCACCTATTGTCCCGAGGGCGGGCCCCAACCCGGGAGTCTGCATCTCCCTCCCCACCTGACTCAGTTTAACTGTCAAGGATTTCATGGATTGATTGATGCCATGTTTTTGTTTGGCCATCACTTACTCTTTTCCAACCTGCACCTATATCAGCTAGTAATGCGCGTCGGGAGGGGGAGGCGATGGTTAGGCATGTGCAGCACGTCACCTAGCCATCTCAATCTGTGTAACTTCATAGCCTCTTCGATTGATTTTCCCTCTTTGCTTAACACTCTACGCCTAACGTCAACATTACTTACCTTTTTATACCACCTAACGTCAGAGAGAGATCGTAGAATGAATGAACAATGTTTTCTTAGATGTGATGTGGTGTGGTGTCTTAATTAGCAAATTAACTGAGAATAGTTTAACAAGTATACGTTAAATTTAACTGGTGGATGGTGACTAGCAGTGACGGAATCCAGTCAAGGATAACGTGCATTTCACCGGTCCTGTTTGGGACTCGTCAGTTCGCTGGAGGATGTACCTGCGTTCCCCAGTCGGTGAGTCAGTGAGTGATGATGTTCCCACCAAGTAATCTTTAATCCAGACTTTATTTTAAAATGTGCAGTTTAATGAGCAATAAACATACATATGAAGAAATGAATGAACTTGGTTTTACTCGGTTGTACAAATTAAAATTGAAAAAAAATAAATATATGAAATATTTCGTTTTAGTTCTGGGACACGTAACTAAACAGAATCACTATTTTTATTTCTAGTGGCTTGAGCGATTCAAATGGCACATTAAAATAATGTAAGCGAAAATAGCGGATAAATATATTAACACACTGTTTTATTTCATCTCTTGGGCAAATGTAAGGAAAAGTTGTTACATGCATATAAACAAGTAGGACAACCCACACATGCGAAAAAGAACGATACGATCAACATTAGTACTAGTACAGAAGGAAAATGAAAAAGACTACGAGGAAGTTGTAGTTTCCTTGTACTTCTTGAGTGTGACATTAACGTGAGTAACTCCATTAAGGATAAGATTTTATTTTGATAAATCACAGTGATGTACAGCAATATTAACTGATGTGACCACACACTTCGAGCACAATTCATTATTGCCACTCATAATCATCATATCAAGTCACTCACTCACTCACACAACTTTCGTCTTCCTTCATTTATATACATGAGTGGAATTCATGATTAGACATTTGAATACAAATCAGTAATATGGGATAATGTACATTCAGAAATAATAATAATAATATGAGTGTTATTGATCAATTACAATCAGATGGGAAATAAGACGAGTGTTTCTCCTATAGTCATAATAAGTGAGTAACTTGTTAGAATGTTGTAATGATGTACGTGAACTGAATTGAAATAGAATACAATTTAAGATTATTTATTATCCTCTTCTGATTTCACTGACTGACTGGTGGTAATAATAATATCTTCCACGCATATATCTGGTATTTGCATTGAGTGATTTCTGTTGCATGTGTTGTATTTGGTGTAGACTGGATGAACCAGGCAGGATTCAGTAATAAACCACTCTCTAGACTTACCTACACAAGAGCATGCTGGGAGAGGATTAAAATTCTGAGAAGTAATCTATGTAAGTGGAGAGAGAGAGATAGGTTGATTACTGAATCCTGCCTCATTCATCGAGTCTACACCAAACACAACACATGCAACAGAAATGACTCAATGCAAATACCAGAGATATGTGTGGAAGATATTATTACCACCAGTCAGTCAGTCAGTCAGTGAAACCACAGGGGGATAATAAATAATCTTAAATTGTATTCTATTTCAATTCAATTCACGTACATCACAACATTCTAACAAGTTACTCACTTATTACGACTATAGGAGAAACACTCGTCTTATTTCCCATCTGATTGTAATTGATCAATAACACTCATATTATCATTATTATTATTTCTGAATGTACATTATCCCATATTACTGATTTGTATTCAAATGTCTAATCATGAATTCCACTCATGTATATAAATGAAGGAAGACGAAAGTTGTGTGAGTCAGTGACTTGATATGATGATTATGAGTGGCAATAATAAATTGTGCTCGAAGCGTGTGGTTGCATCAGTCAATATCATTACTTACTGTATAACACTACACACATTGTGTGACAGTTTATTAAAATAAAATCTTATCCATAATGGAGTAGTTATACTCTACCACACCACAGTGCTCGAGTTTTATAATCTTATATCGTGAACATGAATAAATAGTGCAGCATGTGACAAGTAACCTCAAATCTCTTAAGCATCAATTAGTGCTATTGTTTGAATAGAAAAAAACATAAAATACCTGAATAGACTGCCTACGCATAATTTGACAAATTTATATATTTAAATCAGGTTCATATAGTTGGGGAATACCCGGATGAAATTGACGAACAGATATATACATAGATTGTTGGACTCTTTTAAAAATAGAAGTGCTAAAGTAGATAACACTTTGTATATAGAAAGCGTAAGTAACTCAAGTGACACTTTACTATATACATTGCCTTCAGTGCTTTGATGCACGAGCGCATAACTCAATCGTAGAAAAACCGCCAGCCAACAGTTCACACATTACACATGGTCTTTTAATAAACAAAAGCGTCGTTTACACAAGAGCGAATAGAAAGTAATCTAAACAGAGACTAATAACCTAGCTATCAGAAAAACTGGCAGTGGAATCCAGTCCAGGATAACGCTTTGGCGTTTAATACTATGCTCACTGGGTTCGAGCCTCGGTGCGGGGAACATCATCACTCGCTGGGAAATGCAGGTACATCTAGTTGGCCGAACGAGTCCCAAATAGGACCGGTGAAATACGCCTTATCCTGGATTCCACTGCTAGTCACCATCCACCAATTAAACAAAAACTTAGTTCTAAAACAACCGCCTTTTTTTTATCAAAAAAAGAAGCAAATAGACACCACACAAACAAAACAAATATTTTATACTTACCGATAACGTATGACGCTGCGCCACCATTGAGACGCATATTTCGGACAGGAATTCCAGCTGCCTTGAGATTTCCACGCACGGCACCAAACAAATCATTCAGCTTGACTCTAATCGTTGGAAATCCTGCATGTCTACTATGGATTGGTATAGTTTTCGATAAGACATGATGCAATCTAGTAACTTGTTCATAGGATAATATTTGAAAACGATTTCCACTATTTGTAACTTTAGGTTTCAATAATAATGTAGGACTTGCTAATAAAGGACAACAGGTGTCTTCAACAACAGCTGCACAAGTCCCCGGTGGAGAGAGTCTAGCCACATCACAGCCAAATTGATGATGATAAGAAGTACCAACTTTCAATGGTTGTTGACGCATCTGTAAATGACTGTTTGAACGGCGAACTTCAAATCCTGCAAAAGATTGTGCATCATCTGAATCTGTGTCCTCAGGAAATGGAGATGATGGACTTAAATTCAGTGTTCTCTCGATACCAGAATCATCTGATGGACATGCACTTGAAGCAGGTGACCGGCTGTGTTGTGTTGATGTTATCAATTCAGGCAGTTGTAGGTGGAATATTTGTGACAGTGATTTAGAGTTGCCATGATCGAATTTATTATTATGATGATGATGAGGATTGAACGAGAAGGGATGATGATTATGATTATTGTTGTTATGTAGACTTCCTACTTGCGTCATTGTAGTAGTAGTAGTAGCGGTAATCCGAGAACAAAGTTATGAAGAATAATAATAATTTTAATATTCCAGATTGTTGTATATTAAATGCAACAAACAGTCATTCTCCACCAACTTGACAGCTGTTTTCTTGACAAGAAATAAGACAGAGACAAAGACAAAGAGAGTGAGTGAACCGCTCTCAGATATCAACAGCGAACAACTGCCAATTTTCATTCACAATTTTCATTAAATACCAAAAACCGTAAGTAAGTAATTAACCATACAACTCACTCACTCAATCTAATGTGAAAAATGTGCGGCGACGACGACATTATTTTAACATATAATGGCCCAATCCAATCCAATCATGAGACTAGGAATGAGATACTTCAGAGAGAGACACATATGTACGCCACGAATCGCCTTCTGGTGTACTACGACGTACCTGACTGACCAATTCCTACTTAGATTTTGTCATTTACTAACGACGATATCACATGTGCGGCCATCTTCATTCTGATTGGTTAATTTTTGTGTATACACACACACTTGGTCTAAATAACATGTTTATCGTAGACTAGTGTGGATAGATGGATAGATAGATCGATAGACAGACAGACACATACACACATATACGCATTGTTTATATGCTGCTTGGTCAGACCGCCGACCGACCAACTCACTCACATATCCATATTTATTTCGCCTACGCAATTTTAAGGTGGATAGGATAGTTAGTTAGTTAGTTATTTAGTAGGTGTGTGTGGGTGTTGGGCATCAGATTTCATTATATTATTATTTATTATAGGAAAGATATATGTGAATGAAATGAGGGAAAGATTTTTTTTGAGACTTCTAATTTCGCGGGGGAAAGAAAAAAGGAAAAAAATCTTTCTCAATGTTGTGTGACAACATGTCGTTTGGACGTATCTCATTCAATATATATTAGTACAAAAATAGTAATACAAATAATAAGGGCAGTTTATTGAACAAAAATTAGTTAATAATAATAATAATAATAATAATAATAATAATAATAATAATATAATAATATATAATAATAATAATAATAATGATTACAAAAAAGGAAATGGGTTTAGCTAGTTAATTAGAAATGAGCAAATCTTTTACCAAATGGATTTTCTTTCTTTTATTTCAGTTACCTCTCTATCTCACTCAACTTCATCGACTTTGAAAAGGCCTTCGATAGTGCAGCGTCGATCGAGAGGTGCTTTGGCAACTACTTCGCTACTATCAAGGGGTGCCACCGACAATTATACATCTCATCCAACAGTTAGTTGTACGACAATGCTGCATGCCAAGTAATCCACAACAGGAGTAAGACAAGGCTGCCTACTATCGCCAATGATTTTCCTGATTGCAGTAGACTGGATAATGCGACAAACAGTGGCGGGCAATGAGGAAACAGGCATAAAATGGACTCACACAAAAACTTGGAGGATCTGGACTTCGCCGATGTGATATATGTGTCTGATTTCCCACAAACTGGAAGATATGCAAGTGAAAAGCAACAAGTTGGCAGAAGAAGCATCCAGAGAAGATAGGACTTCAGGTGAACATAGAGAAAATAGAGGTGATGAAGATTCCTGGACAAGAACAACAACAACAGACAACGATCAGCAGCATAAATGGGAGGAACCTGAAAGAAACAACCTCCTTCACCTACCCACCACCTACCTGGGAAGCATCGTTTCAACTACAGGCGGACGGAACTGATGAGGATATCAAAGCAAGAATCGGAAAAGCAAGACAAGCTTTCACTACTCTCAAGTCTGTGTGGAGGTCAACAGCACTCAGCATCAAAAATAAGATCCGGATTTTCAACTCCAATGTGAAGTCAGTCAGTGCTACTCACTGTACGGATCAGAGACTTGGCCAGCGCGTCATAAAGAGCATCTCAAAAAAACTACAGACCTTCATCAACAGTTGTCTTCGCTCAATACTCAAGATCAGATGGCCAGAAAAGATCAGCAACAGAGATCTCTGGGAGCGAACCAACACAGCAGGAACCGATTGTGAAACAAATAAGCAGGAAGAAATGGAGGTGGATTGGATTGTGGCCATACTCTGAGGAAACAAACCATCAAGTGAGTGACATCACTAGACAAGCCATTGCTCGAGTGGAACCCGACGGAATGGGAAGCGGCGAGTTGGTCGTCAGTGTGAGGGTGGGTGACTTGGAGGAGGTGATGTGAAGAGGAGATGAAAACGTGTGGACAGATTTGGAGCCAGGTAAAGACTCTAGCAGATAACCGAACGCAATGGAGACGCACGGCTGAAGCCCTATGTTCCTCTAGGAATTAAAGGAAACAATAATAATAATCAGTTACCTAAGGCAAGATGATTGTGCGTCGGTGGCATAGCGGTTAGGACGCTCGCCGTCGACCATGCCACACATGGTCCGGGGTTCGATCCTCGGCAACGCGGACGCACTCATTCACCTTGCTGAGCCAGAAATAATGCTGGTAAAGAGGAAAGGTTGGGCATGAGGCTGGCTAGCAACTCCATCCTGTAAAACTGAACACTGCTACAGAAACTTCAAGCCACAAGCTTGAAGGCGACCTATGTTCCACTGGGGAACGTGAAGGAAAAAAAGGCAAGATTATTGGAAATGTTCTATTGATATTGTGTTTAGCCAATAATCTTGAGCTAATCTTTGTTTTTTGAAAACTGGCTAGTTCTCTATAGTTTGGTTTGTAAGGGTTAGTTTTGTGTATTTACGAGTTTGACCACGCACGGATTGATATCAGTTAGAGAAGTATTGGAAACCAGCCACAGGGAGTACTGCACAGCCAGCTGTTTCATCAGCCTAGTTTGGGAATCATCGGTAGTACGCACCCACCACTGCACCGGGGTTCGAACCCAGGAGCTTCCGGTTACAAGGCTCGTCAGGGGATATCCATCCTCACACGTGACATCCGGATGGATCTAACTGGGGTCGCGCTAAATGCATCACGAATTGGTAGAAGTTAGAATTCATGCACTTGCCACTGAATTTGGTCCCAGTGGCTGCATGGTATACGAGCCAGTTTGTTGGCCTTGTAATGGGAGTGTCCTGGGTTCGAACCGCCTGTGATGGGTGCGTACTGACGATGATTCCGAAACTGGCAAAATTCTTTTCATAGATATCGTTGCATCAGTTGAATCTAAACATCAACATTTTCAATTTCATCAGCAACGAGGAAACTAGCAACACTGGAGGTTAATATGCCAAAAATAATTCTGAGTACACTAACTAACAGTTTACCCTCTTTATATCTATATATCTTGTTTCTCTTAAGATTTTAGCAAAGTCTGAATACTTCCTACCGGTTTCGTGGACATCGATCATTTTAATTCATTTTATTAAAAAAGGTTGTAAGTCCAGTAGGAGGATGTAATCCAGCGGTGACAACGATTAATAGTTTAGACAAAAAAATCAACGATTAGTCAGATTTACTGAAGTATATAATAACTGATCAACTCATTCCAGATGAATCCATGCACCGAGGTAATCAAAAAGCCGTAACAGATCATACAAAATCATTATCACTACTATTATTCCCTTAGGTTCCGTGTGGAACACTGGGCTTCAATAACACACACTGCCACTTCATCCTGGCTGCATGACTGCGCATCAGCGTTCATTTCCTCTTCACATGATTTCTTCTATGTCAACCTCCGATTGATATCCATCCAACTTCCACTCGGGTGCTTGAGGCGCGATGTTAATCAACGGCCTCCTTAGCGTGTGTTTAAACCACCTCCATTTACTTCGGTATATATATATATATATACATCATAGGCGTCAGGATTGTTGGCTGCTTCATTTTTACTGCTAATTTTTACTGACCTTCAGTTGTTACCCTGTTCAAAATGCTTGAAGTACCCAATTAGTGAGTAACGCTTCAAGGAACACATAATACTTAATTGGTGGATGGTGACTAGCAGTGACAGAATCCAGTCCAGGATAACGCGCATTTCACCGGTCCTATTTGGACTCGTCAGTTGGCTGGAGGATGTGTCTGCATTCCCCAGTGAGTCAGTGAGTGAGTGATGATTTTCCCACCACCGAGGCTCGAACATCATTACTCACTGAGAAGTGCAGGCGCATCCAGTTAGCTGATGAGTCCCAAGTAGGACCGGTAAAATGCGCGTTATCCTGGACTGGCTGGATTCTGTCACTGCTAGTCACCATACACCACCAGTTAAATTCTAATCACATGCCCATACATCGTGGTCGAAGCATCTGCACAAGAAGCCAACAGATATATCAACCTGAGATCGTCACAATGCAACCTCGTACACCTACCTACCTACCACCCACCATTAAGCCACTGTCATCCCATCCTCCCTTCTCTTCAATTCACTTCTTCTTCTTCTTTACTATGTCGCCCCTGTTCACAAGTTCACATGCCTAACTACCTACCTACCCACCGACCCACTCACACAGTCAACGTTACACAGCCAAATGTCTTTCTTATTCGTAAGGAGGCTGGCTGGCTAACTGCCTGACTGGCGAGTAGTTATTACAACGAAATAACAAAATCACAATTACTACCATATTGTGTTAGTATATATAAATATATATATATACATATATATATATATATATATATATATATATATATATATACTAACACTTCGTTCTCACTTGATTGATCGCTTGATCATACAAATACAAGAAGATACGATCAGATAAGCTGAGATAATCAATCAAATCTTTCAGACAGCAACGACACCAATTTCCGTTTCCCTCGTTAAGAGCGAGAAGAATATGCTCTACAGAGAAATTAGAGGAAGAATTTGAGTTTCTTGAAAAGACTTTGAAGAGCAATGGGTACCCTCAAAGGTTCATCAACAAGTATGGAAGATCTGAAGTCGCAAATGAAAATAAATCACAGTAAAAAAAGCCAATCTACTTTGAGCTTGATTATAAAGGCGAAAACATTGCAGCGATGATCAACAGAAGGCTGAGTACATCACTAGCCGCAGCCTATCCTGCAGCTAAGCTCGTTCCC